GTTCTGTAATTCTTGGTTGAAATCGGAGCTCTTGGGGTTTCACCGTGCTCCTCCCACTCCCAGCTGCTGAAATTACTGCATTTCCAGCATTGCTGGTTCCCTGCGCTCAGTCCCTGAGCCACTGCCAGGGGTCACCAGGTGTGAGGAGGGGGAAACACTTTGAAGTGTCTTGATTTCATAAGGAGTTTCTCATCACGGTGTTTGTGCAGCACTGGAAGCGTAGGAGGTGTGTGGGACACAGAACCTGTGGAGAGCAGCGGCCGTGGTGCATCCAGACAGTGGGAATGGGACGGGGATGGGCCTGGGTGGCTTCGGCCTCTGGGCTGTGCCATTCCCTGCTTGTGTTCAGGGCAAAAGGATCCTGGGGTGGGATCAGGCCCCTGTGGGGGAGCACGGCCGGGCTCTCACAGCCGCTCCCGTCTCAGGTCCTACAGATCAACAGACGGACGGACGACCCCCCAGCTGGGGAACCCCTCGACTCCCCAGCCGGCATCCCCTGAGGTGGGCAACTACCACTCGCACTTGGAGCTGTCCCACACCCACTCACCACGCAGCCCCATCAGCCCCGAACTGCTCTGTGCCCCCCTGACGCCCCTGTCCCGGGACTCTCTGCGGCTCCTGTCCAGCGAGGACACGCGTTGCTCCACGCCCGAGGCCGGCCCGGACGAGCAGGTGGGTTGTGGCTGCGCAGGTGACCCGGGCGCGGGGAGGCGGCTCGGGAGCTCCGTCTGCAGCCGCCGAAGCTTCCGCGCTCCACACCAGGAGCGGCTCTGAGCTCCGGATCCGTGCAAGGAGTCGGGACAGAAGCTTTTGCGGGGGTTTTCCGTGACGCGGTTCTCTCCCCGCAGGCCGTGCAGCCCTGGGAGCGCCGCACCTTCCCGCTCTCCTACGACCCCCGGACGGAGTGCGAGGACCAGCCCGACGCCCAGGACCGGCTGTCGCGCTGCACCCGCCGCACCTCGGGCAGCAAATCCTCCCGGGAATGCGATGGCGCTTCGGCTTCGCCCGGCCTGGCCAGCCTCAAGAGCCGAAACCCGCTGGCCCCCCCTTCCTCCTCCTCTTCCTCCTCTTCCTCCTCTTCCTCCTCCTCCTCCTCCTCCTGCTCCGCAGTCCTGCGGCCAGCGCACAGATAGAGACACACGGGGAGACATGAGCAAACCAACACACAGAACTAACTCTTGGCATTAAAGCTTCCAAAATCTGCGTTTGATATTCAAACATCCTGCCGGGAATTTTCACAGTTTTTAGTGAATTTAAGGAGTTTAGAAACTGTTTTTTGTTTTCTTTTTTTTTTTTTCCTTTGTTTTCTTTTTTTTTCTTTTTTCTTTTTTTTTTTTTTCCTTCTCCGTGTTTCCTCGTCACATGAATGACCCCCAGATTCCTCCCAGTGGAGTGAAGCCTCGGGAGGGGAGCAGCCCACCAGACCCCCTCCCCTTTCCTCCCTCCTTTAGGTGTATAAAACTAGAGCACAGGATTTAGCTGACTAGCAGATTTCGGGGATAGTTTTTCCCAACAAAAGGGTGTCGTTTTCTCTTAACCCACTCCCCCCACCCTGAAAGGTTTTAGTGGAGTGAAATTAGTGGTGAAAAGTGATGTCTTGGGATTGCAACCTTCACTGTCTGGCTGTCCTCACCTGCAGAGCGCCCACCTGCACTTCCACCCTCCTGGATTTTCCTGCCCCAGGTTGTAGTTCCAGGTATCCCAAGGGGGTTTCTGTTCCTCCCTGATCCTCCCTCTGCCCCTGGGGACACCTTCCCCTTCCTTCCTTCTCCCCTGGTTTGGAGCAGTGGCTGTGGCCGTTCCCAGCAGGGGAAAGGAGGGATCTCGTGTGCGCTGCACACTCAGCTCGGCGTGGCAGGGGTGGGAGCACAGCTCGTGCACTCCCGCTGCGTTTCGAGGGCAGGGAGGGGAAGAGTCCGCGATGCTCGGAGCAGGAGCAGAATTCCCGGGGCCCTTGGACGCCCTTTGGGGTGAGGCTGTGCAGCTGGAACGGGGCTGTGGCCAGTGCTGGAGTTGTGCCCTTGCTGGGGGCTCGGGGAGCCGCGGGCCGGGGTCCCGCAGGTGGGTTTGTGCCAGACAAGGGGGATCAGAGAGGGAAGGATGGAGGCAGGAGGCGGCTCCTGGGGGATTGGGGCCATCCCGAACCCGCGTGGGGTCACCACAGCTTCGCTCCACTCCCGCACCGTCCCGGCACCGGGGGCGGTTCCGTTTCGTTTCCGGGCGCTGGCGGCGCCCGCTCCTGACAGGTTTTGAGTTTGTTCCTCCCCGTCCCCTCCCGCCCGGTTCCGCACCCGCAGTGATCCCGGACCCCACACGCCGTCCCCATCCGTAACGCTTCCCGGTCCTGACGGTGTGGCTCCTGGGCCTGTCCTGTTGCTAGCATTGTGCCTGTCTTATGTATAATCACATCACCAAAAAAAAACGGAAAAAAAAAATACAAAGGACTTTTTTTTTTTTCCATTTTGTAATCGTAAAGAAATAGTCGCTGAACTGCTTCATGGTCGGGGTTTTCACAATTTTCAACATGATCTCGTGGTTTTGGTTCTGTTCTAGTTTAAGGGATCCGTCATTGTTTCTTTAAAACAAAAACCCAACAAACAGCGCTACCATATCCCTCTGCAGAAGTGCTTTTCTATTTATAAGGTTGAAAATTCTGAATAACCCTTTTAGCATTATAAAAACCACACAAAAAAAAAACCCACCTTGTATTTTGTAAATATTTTCTTTTCCTGCTTTGAGCTGTGTAATGTCCTTGTTATATAGAAATGCTTTTCTTCCGAGAAGCTGATCTTTGTTAATGTCTTGATTCTGTTGGCAAAGCACAAATGTGCTTATAAAAAAAAAAAAAAGAAGAAAAGATTAAAAAAAAAATTAAAATGTAATATTCCATTTGATGAGTGTGAAACGCTGGGCTGGGACAGGGAAGGGCCCTGAGTGCACTGGGATCAGCTGCTTCCCTCCTGTGTGATGCTCTTTTCCAGCAGTTACAGGCAGCGAGAGGAGGAACCCCCGGGCTGGGGGTTATTTTACATTTCTGGGGTTAATTGGGTGCTGCTGGTTCTCTTCCAGGGACTGCTGTGTTCTGCTCCACCAGGCAGGGTCACCCCTCCTGCACCCCTCTGTGCCCCGGGACAGCTGTGGGAGTGTGAAAAGGAAAGCAGGAACTGCAAAGCAGTCTCTGCCCCTCTGCTGGCCCAGCCGGGGATTCTGTGGATGGATCCCCACCCCACGGCCCCCATGCAAAAGAGGTGCCAATTATCATTATCGTAGTAATGACTTTATTTCCAAATTCACTTTTACGGCAACAGTGTAAACCAGTTGTTAAACACACGATACACTATGGACACCCACAGACAGAAGCTAAGCTAGAATGATACACTGAGATCAAACCTTCCCTCCCCTCCCCGGCGCAGCCGACACCACACAGGCTGGCACCGACCTTTGCGATCAGGCAGACTTTTTTTGAAGTGCAGAAATAGGATTTTTTTTATTTTTTTTTTCTTCAAATCAGTGCCAGTTTTAACCCTTTTCAGACCCAGGATGTGTGTGGAGTAAAGGAAAAGCCGGGTTCAGGTTGTCCGGCTGCTCACAGGGACCCTCAGGCCTGGGTTTGAAGGCAGGGTTGGGGCAGGGGACGTGGCTCGGGCTGCTGGAGGGGACAGTGGGTGACACTGTGGATGTAAAGGGCTGCCCTGGCACCCCACAGCCCCGGGAGGGACGGCAGCCGAGGCTGAGGACACTCAGAGGAGGAAGGGGTCGCTGACTGGAGCTCGGTGCGCACAAAGGACATCCCAGCCCGGGGTGCTGCTGTCCCTCAGGGGCTGCACCGAGGGGACAGGGGTGGCACAGGACAGGCGAGCTCAGCTACCCCGTCCTGCAGCCCGGCAGGGGTGACAGGTGATGCTTTGAGGGCTCTCCCAACTTGCTCGTTCTACAAAGGACAAAAACCGTGGCGGCTCCTACAGCGCTACAGAGTCGGGGACGGAGCACAGAGTCTTACAATCATGGAGTCAAGTGAACGGAGCGAGTGACAAGCTGGACATGGTGGTGGTGCTGGACCAGCCTCTCCCCAGCAATAAAGCAGCTCCTGGGGCTGCAGAGAGAAGGGTTGGGCCCCCCAAACCATCCCCATCCATGGCCAGGCCTGCAGGATGGGAGCGCATCCTGTCCTGGAGGAACTGCTGCTCTCACAGCCTTGGTGGCACCCAGCCACCACCCCAAGGACAGCCAGGGGCCCTGACCCCCCGCCAGCCCTGTCAGAGCAGGATTCCAGCCCTTGGGAAAGCGCGGCTTTCCCTGCAGCACAGCCCGGGGCTGCGGCCCCAGCAGGGCCCCTCTGCCCTCCCCGCTGTGCCCACGGGACACACGGAGCTGCACCGGCGGCACCTTGGCCTCTTTGGTTGAAGAGGGAAGGGGCAGGCGGGGATGGCCGCAGGACCCCCTCGTGCTCCCCAGAGAGCCACAGGGGAACAGAAGCAGCCAAAGAATGAACTCGACTGGCTCCTGTCCCCGAGCGCTGCCGGGGCTGTGTGAGGGGTGAGACGCTGCC